TTATCCCCAAATCCACGTCTTCTCGGCATCTCTAGCAGGAAATTCCAATCCACTAAGTCATAGGCTTTCTCCAAGTCCAGTTTGCAAACAAATCCTTTCCTGCCCGATCTCCTTATCTCTTCCACACTCTCGTTTGCAATAAGGATCTGATCTGTAATTTGTCTATCATGTATCCAGTTTGCAAACAAATCCTTTCCTGCCCGATCTCCTTATCTCTTCCACACTCTCGTTTGCAATAAGGATCTGATCTCTAATTTGTCTATCCTGTATAAAGGCTCCTTGTGCTTGGCTAACGAGAGAGGGGAAAACTACTTTGATCCTCCTAGAGAGCACTTTTGCCAGAATCTTATAGATGCTTGTCACCAGGCTAATTGGCCGAAAATCTTTGGGGTGTCTGCCATCATTCTTTTTGGGAATTAAGGCTATAAAGGTGGCATTGATTCCAAGACTCACAAAATTTTTATCCTCAAATTCTAGGAAGAACTAAAAATTTTATCTAATCAACACATTTTCCTCTTTCATATATTCTTCTTCTTCTTCTGCTACTTATAATTTTCCTCTACTACTACTAACTACTACTACTACTACTACTACTACTACCAATACTTTTTATTTTCTTCTTTTCCTATAACAAAAATAAGGGTTCAGCCCCTATATTTTTTGAATTTTATTTTCCTTCTTCCTTTTTTCTCATGAACATGTTGATTTTCTATACTTTAATATGAAATTTATACTTTTCTTATGAAAATCATGAATAATTATTAAAGAAATATGGTTATGGCACCTAGGGAACTACCCTAGGATCTATGTTTTTAACATAAAAAATCCATAGCCTAGGCGCCCGCCTAGGCGACTAGGCGACTAGGTGCCCCCCAGTCGCCTAGCCTCGCCTTGGCGCCTTGAAAACTATGATGGTACACGGGTAATGTACAAGAAGTACATAAGTGATTAGGCTGTTGGCAGATCTCTTTACCCATATGAAGTTAATTGTCAATTCTCTTATCAATTGTTGAATCTCTTTCAAGTGTTATTGTATTTCCATGGTCTTTGTTTTGGTTACTATACAAGTTCCTCACTAGGTATTTGACTAAAGAGGAGTTTGAAGACATTTAAGTTGAGAAAGTGGTTACATGGGAACTCTCTTATGTTGAAGCATCATAAGGTGGACAACACCCACCTGCACATGGCCCATGTCTGAAGGTATGGAAATGGTAGACTATCCTGTATATGCCTCCGAGTAAATTCATGCAGTACAGCTCATGATCTGTTATAACTATAAGCATTTTCTGAACCCTTTTTCCCTTTTTTTAAGTACTACCTTATCACAATGTTCATAATGCACCTTGTCATGGACTAGAATCTTATTTAACAGACAATTGTAAATGCCACTAGTAGAAGGATTCTGTAGTTCATTTGTATCAGAACAGATTTACATGAGAAAGACAAATGCTAAGAATGCTGGCTGACACAACCCTCCTCCTATATCTGGACTTGGGACCAGCAGTGCAAGACAAGCTCACACTGGAAGAGCTTTTATTGTTCCATATATCCCGATATTCCCCACTGAAACACGTGCCAATCCTTTCTTCCCAATTCAATTCACATCCTTTTAGTCCCCACCTTTTTACATCCTTCAACCAGTACGATTCTGCTCCTTTACAGATACCACCATTGGTTTGTTAGAAATTATGTGGAACCATCAAAAATGATTTTTTTTTTATCTTATCACCCACTGGAGCCTAAATATCCATGTTGATAACTAATTAGCAAATAAGAATACAGAGGCTATACTGAATAGGAAGAAACTGACTGAATTTGCATGCCAGGCACAAAAAATGTCCACCATTTTTGCATCCTTTTATTCATTTAAAACATTTTAATATATTATCCACTTACCAAAATTCAGCTTCATTCAGACAGAAACTACTGGTTTGGAAACATGGAATAGATTGAGTACTTGGATTTCCATCACATAAACCAAAAATATCTCTCATAAGGAGAATTGCACCAGTATTGTTTGGCTTCAACATGTTCAGTATGTCTAAAGATCATTAAGGACACTTGATAAGAAACATTGCAACTGGGAAAAAGAAGAGCAGATTACATTCTCAAAAAGATTATAATCCAAAACTTTAGCATGAAGAAAGCTTTCGTTAAATCATATAGATGTGGCATGACAATATATCAAACTTTTTATAGTGGCAGGGCACCTCTTGTACAGGAACTTCCCATGCCAAATAGCCTCTACCAGTTTACCATTCTAAGATGTTTTTATGTCAGATGTGATCTCTTAGCACTTTGGTTTTTCTTTGCTTAGAAACATTTGTGAAGTTAAGTTTGATGAACTAGCTCCCCTTTAAAAGTCAAAATGAGTCCCCATCTCTAATACCAGTGTTGACTCTACAATTGAGAACTGTAAGCCCAGTAATATATTTTACAAATGTTAAAAAAAAAATTCACCTACCCTGACACCTTTTCCATTTAAGATAGTTTGGGCCCCAACTGTCAGTGAGAAGATTAATCATTCATACTGACCTAGCTTCCCTTTAAAAGTCAAAATGAGTCCCCATCTCTAATACCAGTGTTGACTCTACAATGGAGAACTGTAAGCCTAGTAATATATTTTACAAAGCTTTAAAAAAATCCACCTTACCTGACACCTTTTCCATTTAAGATAGTTTGGGCCCCAACTGTCAGTGAGAAAATTAATCATTCATACTGACCAATGGTCAACATCAGTTAGATTATCTGTCATAAGGTCAAGCCATATCTCCTTGTATTTACATCATTGCAAAAACACATCATAAAATGGATAGATTAATTTAGCATTAGTTTCTCAAGTCTTGCAGATGAAAAATATCTTGTGGCTAAAAGCATAATTTATTACCAATGTCAGCTTTGTAACTTCTTTTCTGTATCCTTCAATTTCTATTTTCCAATAAAGTTTTATGTTTCCATTAATCAGAAGGGAAGAGCATGAAAAGGTGTTATTATTTATTACCATTCTATCAAAAACAAAGAGAACAATATGCCTAAGAATGTATAAAAAAGTGCATGAGCTATTTAAATATGCACTCAAAGAAATTATAAGGGGAAAAGGATACGATTTCTTGGAAGAAGACAGGAGGAATAACCAGATTTATAGAACATCAATTGCCTATTTATCTCTGTGGCCTTTGTAACATTTGGTGGGGCTTGCAGCATCAAATGGTAAAGGCATAATGATGCCATCTGCAGATAAGCCAATACTTGAGAACCATCTCCAGGGAAATTAAACAAATAACAATGATGATGATGGATATTAATTGGCTCCACAAGTAGATCACATCAGGGATAAAAAGATTAAGAGTATCATTCACAATATGTTCATCTTAGACGAAAGAACCTAACTATTCTTATCCTGTTTCTTAAATGATCAAATTCATTTTATGAGAAAATGCTAGGAATCAAGGAACGTTTTCCTTCTTTATGAGTAATTGAAAATGTTTATCATGTAAAGTTGTACTAAAAGCACCTTAAGCCAATCAGGAACATTACAATGCTCCACCCTCTACACCAGATATAGCCTTATTTCATGGTGGGCAATGATCACACTTACAATTTATAAATAATGCCATTTTCTTTTGTCAGGATATAGGGGATTTTTTCTATCAATAAGGATTGGTGAGAGGAATTTGAGGCTCCTGATAGAATTGTTTGAGAAAACATCCAATCAGAAGGTCAATCTAAAAAAGAGTTGTCTAGCTGCAATTAATATGGGGAAGGAAACACGAGCAGATAAGGCACAGTTCTTTGAAGGGAAGGAATGTACAAAGGAGGCAATCATTGAAAGTATTGGTGTCAAAGTGGTACATTGGAGAAAGACTAAGACCTGTTTTGCTCTATTCTCCTTTGATGATATTCATAGAGGGTGGCAATGAGCTGCTTCTTCCTCTATTTCAATATTTGTTTGTTGCCCAAAGTGGAGACCAACTAGTGACAATGTTATAAAAATGGATTTGGATGCTGTTTTGGGAACCCTGGGCATAGATGTAAATGCTTTATGAAAGTCATGAGCAAGTGGTTGTTTGCCAGCCTATAATTGGGGATGCAAGGTGTCTTGTAAATAACTCATTCTTTTATCATCTAATAGAACTTGGCACTTACCAATCAAAAAAAAAAAAAACAATGAAATACTCAAAACTCCCCCTTAAGCTGAGCACAAATATTAAGCATGCCTAGCTTGCCAAGAATATAATCAATTGAGTGTTTAACTCTTTTTGTAAGAACATCAGCAAGTTGATCATCTATTCTCACAAAAAGTAGACAAACTTCACCTGTAGCAACTTTCTTCCTTATGAAATGCTAATTAACCTGAATATTTTTTCTTATCATGTTAAATGGGATTATGAGCAATGTCAATGGCAGCTTGATTGTTGCAATATAATCTCATAAGAGCTTTTTTTTTGTCGACAACTAAAAGATTTATCAGATATTTTAAAAAGGATGTATATACACCATGCCAAAGCATCCCCAGTTGTGATCAAGCCAAAGGCCTCCACACCCATTCTACCATATACATTATATTTGAGACCAAAAGAGATGCTCCCTATGCACAACATGCTTAGCCAAGGTTTTGGCTAGGCTATTTGCTGATCTTTGTATTAAAGAAAAGGTAGCCCCCATCTCTTAAGTCAAATGTCTTATTTCCCACATTAGTATATGTACTGCCAGTCTGCCATAAGCCTAAATTATTGTTTTTCATCCAGCCAACCACTACTTCTGAGTCTCCATGTGCCATTACATTTTCAAAACTATTAAGTTCTTCCCACTCATAGTCCTTGCCATGCTGCTAGCAGTTCTGCCCTTGTGAAGTCTGCATTTCCAGCTGATCTGGAGTACATTTCCAGAATAGTTCTTCTCTCATATTTATATACCCAACTTATACCTGAAGGTTCTGGGTTTCCAATCCCACCCACACCCATCAAAGTTCAACTTTAACTGGTGGCTCCCCAGTGGACTTGAATGTACATGGACTCTAATCCTTATGGTCAATAAGCTGACCACTTAAGACTACCCTGTCATAATGTCATCTATGGAGAAGAGAGAATAAATCTTTAGTTTTTACCTAGCAGGCTTTCACTGCTATGTGTTTTATTATCATATCTTTAGTTCTTATCTTTCCCTTCAAACCATTCTACAACACCTTTCCAGCATTGCATAACAGGATTGATCCATTGTATGGGATAAAAAATCCAATGTTTCATAAGAGGATGAAACATATCTTAGTAGATTGTCATTTTGTATGGGATGAAGTTGGAAGTCGAAAGGTGTTTACTCCATTTGTAACATCTGGAATCTTATGTGACAAGAGAATATCACTTAGGCTAAAAGGAAAATTTTATAAATGGTTTTAAAACAAGAAATAACAATCTACTGGCCTATCACAACACTCAGTTCCATACAACATTGCTAACCATAAACTGTTATATAAGAATTTTCTTTTAGCCCAAGTGGTATTCTCCTATCACAAAAGACACTAGATGTACCTTTTTTTTATCAGAACACTAGATGTACTTCCTTCTATTGTAACAATTAAAAAGACACTAGATGTACCCCACACCCACACCCACACACACACACACACACACACACACATTTTGCCCATCCTGCTCTAATTTCATGGGCAACATCCTCCACAATCTCTCCCTTTTATGGATTATTGAGCCAAGGTAACAATGATTTTCAATGTAAAACACGAATGAAGAATAGGTGAGAAGAGAGAAGAAAAGATAAATGAGGCAAATATAACCTTATTTCAAGATGCAATGAAATACTCAACAAGGGGAATACACTTTCTACCAATTGTCCTATCTATCATCTCTTTCGATGAATTTATTGTGTTATAAATTTGAAATTCATAATGATGCCATAATGTGGAGCCCATTAGTTAGGAGTCTAAATGATTGAGAGGTTGTCTCAGTGGTGAATCTGCTAAAAATATTACAAAACACTAACATAGGCAGGAGCCACTGAGGCAGCAGGATAAAAGGATTTAGACATGGGATGGATCAAAGATCTTCTCTGTGAATTCTTTATACAGGAGATTGTCTCAAGGGAGTGATAGTAATTTTCTATTATCATGATTTGGTGCTTCCTGATCCCCTCATACGTCTCTTTGTGATAGTGTATAGTAGGTGCCTCACTACACACAACTTGTTGAAGAGAGGGATGACAGTGGACAATCTAAACTGTATTTTCTGTGATAGCTGCATAAAGATTCTTGACCATCTCTTCCTTCACTGCAGGTTTGCTGGTGAGGTGTGGGCAAAGGCCTTGGGTTTATCTGGGACACAAACCTGATTTCCAGAAACATCAAGAGAATTCCCAGAAGCTTGGCAGTTGGGGGGTTTGAGTCAGAAGGGCAAGATTATGTGGAAGTTGGTCCTTTCCGCAGCTTTTGGGCCATTTGGAGTGAGAGTAATACTCGTACATTTGATTTTTGTATATTCTCAATGTACAGATGCTTGGTGCACATGGGCTTTTTTTCTTATTAGTAACTGTAGTGAGAATGGGCCAAATGGGTCTTAGTGTCATTATTTCTTTTAAGTTATGTTTTAAGTTTATGTTCTTTAAGTTATGGGCCTCTTTTGTTTTGTTTTGTTTTATTATTTCTTTAGTGCTGGCTACCCTATTAAGGGCATCCAGGGAATTGTACTCAGTTTAGAATTAAGAGAATAAAAGATATCTTGGGGGGCTAGAGAGAAAGGAACGAATTCTTCTCTTCTCTCTCTTCTTCTTCCTTCTTCTTCTTCCACAAACTTCTGTTGAACCTCTTTCTTTTCTTCTCTTTTTCTATATTTTCTGAATTATTGCAGGTGTATTTCACAACTGTAACAAAAAAATCTAAACTTTATCCTTTGTCTCAAAAATAATATTATGCTATAAATAAAAAACAAAATATTGGCACTATATTTGGTGTTATATGTTTTTTTTTGATAGATTTTTTTTGGTGTTATATATTGTTGAAGGCATTTTTTAATCCAAATAATATTAATAATTTAATAACCCAAAAAAGTGGCTTGGCTAGTCTGCTAGCCAAATCATCAAAGCTATAAAAAAGTATCCTGTATGGGAGTTCCCTCTCTTTAAGTGGGAGGAACAGGTGTCCTTCACCTAGGAGGAGGAGGTAGTTACATAACTACCCCACTCCCTATTTAAGCTCCTTTAGGGGAAGCTAGAGGCTCTTACACAGATGCTCTCTTCGGAGAAAATTATCTCAAGAGATTCTTAAGAAAAGCGAAGATAAAGAGAGAAGAAAAGAGAAGTGCTCAAGGGAAGATAGGGAAGGAAAAGAAGTTTCACTAATACAAGTAGGAAAGGGAAAGTCCTCTCCAGTAATACTTCCTATCTATGTCTTATGCTATATATCCTTCTTTCTCCCTCTTTTATTTTCACTTTTGATTAAGGAAATAGAGGAAATAAACCATCTACGACCAGGTGCCTCTACTTGGTTGATTATGGTCCCTCTTTCAAGACAAAGTGAGGGATTAAACCATCTACGGTGTAATTCTCAAGGGCTGATTATGGTTCCCTTCAAATGAAAATGAAAAACAGGGGGATAAAAACCGTCTACAATCAAATATTCAATTTGATTGACTACGGTTCCCTTCTTGTACACAAAAATCCAAAGGATTAATGCTGTTTTGCAATCAGAATTTCATTTGATTAACTACAGCTTATTGTGAAAAAAGGAGTGAGAAGGAAATCTTCCTTGCATCAAAAAGAAAAGAGAGAAATGTATTGTTGTATAGTTTCTCAATTGTATTTTCTTTTTTTTTTCTTCTCATTCTTGTACACTTGATGTAAAAGAAATGCAAATGAAAAGTTCTTTTTAAGTACTCTATTGTTCTTTTCTCTATGCATTCATTTACCTAAGTCACAATCAAAAGGTGTTCTCTACTTTCTTGTGGAGATGTAATTAAGGGGAACAATCCGTATGATTCCCTAAATGGGCCTTACCCAAAATAATAATAATAAAACTCAATCACTTGATTGAGTGAATTATGTTGCATCAGTATTTATTAAAATTTTCACACCAACATATATAACAAGCTTTAATAACTTTAAGTTCCTCCTAATTTAATAAAATGCAAAAATAAAAAAGTGAATGATATAATTGATTGAAGAAAAGCTAATATAATTACATACGCACAGAGAAGATGGAAATATTTATTCATGTTCTACAACATTAAAAATAATAGCTTACTTTTTTTGAGTGAACCTGAAGTCTTTGTAGCTTCTTGAGCTCTTGGCAAGGAGTTGCCTTCTTCCGCTGATGTCTTAAGCTGCCACTGGAGTTTTGTTGACACATCCCAGAGGTATTTTCTTTATCATTAGAAATGCTGGTGCTAGTTTGCAGCACACTCTCTTCTGGACAATTCATCCGTATCCGCTTTCTATGGCGTTGCCAGCTAAATGGTCTTAAGTGCTTCCTAATAGTTTTTGTAGTCTTGCTTAAGCTCTCTTGAAGTTTCCCATTTGAGTCCACTTTATTATTAACATTAAAGTCCAGATTATGTGCTTCAGATGAATTAATGTGATTCCAATCAAATGAGCTTAAAGAGCTTTTGCGGTTACAACCAATATGGCAATTAAAAGAACCCAAGGAGTTGTTGACACCAAAAATACTATCAGATTGCTGTAAAGAGATTACATTGTAGGGCTTAGAATTATCTTCATGATCAACTCTTTTTCTCTTTTGGGGACCTGAGGAAGAGAAACCATCTCATGAAATCACAAACTTTATAAAATATAATGTTCTAACCCAATGAGTTTTTTTGATTAAGTACAACAGGACACTTCAAGATGACTGGCAAAGAAAGAGCTACCTAACAGGATAATTCTTCAGGCCCCTTTGGGTAGGCTGAGCTGAAGATTCAACTAAGCTGCCTTGAAGTGTTCCAGATAAGTTATTCAAAGATGCTGAAGCGGACAGCCGATTTGGGCTCTCTGGATTTTTCACCAACATAGCTTATAAGCTGTCCATGTGGATCCCACTTCAGAAAGCCACAAGCTGCTGCACTTCAGCCCTCCCAAGCAGGCACTTCTAAGTGGCTATTTCATAACAGATGAAGTGGATGAAGTGCGACTTATTTGTTGTTTTTATGTGAATAAGTTATTAAGGTTGTAAACTACTTAATGGCTGAATCTGATTTTAAGAATACCATCAAATATTTTATTTATTTAAACGCTAAAGGCCAAGTAATAAGTCATGCAGTTCAGTGATTTCAGCCACTATCAAACAGCCCCTAAGTAAAAGTGTATAACTTGAAACAGAATGTCACAAAATAAATAGCAAAAGCATAAGGGAAATTTTTTTAAATACAATACAAGAACATAATGATGCAAGACGAATTATCCAAACTGAATACAAGTGAAAAGACAAACAATTAATTCAATACAATTTTGGTGAAGTTACTTAACAAAAAAAGGCAAGCAATTAATGAATAGTTTGTTTCTACAAGTTAAGGACTTGCTAAAAGCTGGTTCGTTACTTTCATTATTGTTCTAGGATATACTACACAGGATGCATATATTGCGTAAATATTAATTTTTTTATACAGGAATCAACCCGTACACATCTAAATTGCACATCTCTTCCTTTTTGCTTAATAAAGTTCTCAGTACTTGCCAAAAGAAAAAAAATATATATTGTTCAGGTCTATTCATCTACATGCTTTCCGACCTTCTTTTTTTCAATTCATATACACAAAAAAGAAGATACAGCAGAGAGAGAGAGGCAGAAACAAGTCAACGCCACAGAGGGTACTGATCTAGCCTAATGCATCCTGTGAACTAATAGAGGAGGCATGTATAAAACATCAAAAACAGAGCACATGTACGAGTAACTTCAAGAAGTATTAGGTTTGCAACATTGTCCGAAACGCCAACTAAGGTTAAAGTGAATACCCAATGGAAGAATAAACCAATACATGTCAAATCAACATCATAAGAAAATTCAAGATGCTAACAATTTTGATTACCAAACTGTACAGGTGAAGACTGTGGACAATCAGACTCCGATATATTTCTTGAGAACTGGATGCCTAAATCAATGATGGAAGGACCTGCCACTTGATGGTGGTTCCCCAGGGGAAGTGGCAAAAATATTGATGTATACTTTAAAAGATGAATCATTACATGATCCTGAATCTGCAAGTTTTAGCAACCCAATATTCTAAGGAATTACAAAAAAAGAACTGTCCTTAATATTAGCAAAGCAAACAACTAAATTCAAGGTAAAAAATTTACCCTTTGTAAAAGAACACACCAAGCCGAAGTAGTAAGAAGATCTACAATGGAGCTTGAACGAGTGCCCTGCCAGAGGCAGATAAATATTTCCAAGTTGTCAATGGACAAGAATGTATTTACAAACAAACAAGAGAACTTAAATCAATGGATGAGTACCTATCACATTGAAACGCATGTACCATTCAAACTCATAATGTTAATGTTGACATGTTTATGGGCATACAAGTTCCTGTGGTATTATTATCTTGTTACATTATTTTCCTTTAGGCTATGTTTGGTTTGAAGGAAAAGGCAGGGAAAGTAAGGGCAAGACAGGGAAACCAATACAAGGGTTGTAAAGGTTTCCCTACTTTTCCCTTCCTTTCCTTACATTTTCCTTCAAACCAAATATAGCCTTAAGGATAGAGATCAAAATAAAATTCTAAACTTACTTTATCATAACCATTGCAAATTACATTTGAGGACGATTGTGAATCCGACAGTATCATTTCAATGGTCTTTTTGACAATCTGAAAAACAGCAAAGCTGGCTGGTTATGCATACAACATCACTTCATTCAGCAATGTACCCTTTTAACTGTTTCCTTTCCCTGAAAACTGCATGCAGAAATAACATAGACGAGAACACGGCAAACTTATATACAACTGTAAATTTCATGGCTCTGACAAAGTATCAACCTAACAAAATAGCACAATAAAGGACCTTCCTTTGCCATGTCTTGTTGTCAGGTTAAAGTGTGTTCATTTCTTTTTCCAGAAGAAAACATAAAGGAAAGAAATAACAAGATCGCCGCAAATACCCTATAACACAAAGACTTGCATAACCTAAAATGTAATACAGATAATAATAATGTTTTTTGTTATTCCCAATTCCCATAGGGCTATAGTAATTTTTGAATTTTTCCATGTGTGTGCATAAAATGAAGATGTATTCATTCGTCCAATATAAATACATACAATAGGTTACAGTTACACCGACTTATACAAGTTTTTGTTGACGTGTATAAAAGAACATAACTAACTCCAACACCTATTCCATAACACTAACACAAGAATTCATGCACACTAGTAATCCCTTCTTTTTTTTCAAACCAAACACAGCCTAAGAAAGAATGCACATTGATCTAACCTCCAATTAGATTGATGTACACAGAATTTTATGTCTTAATAAAATAAGTACATTATTGTTTTATGTTCAGATTGGTATGTTTTTGTGAATTACTCCTTAAAGTGGACACTTATGAGGCATCTATTAGTTTAGAATGTTCTCAATCATTGGATAAACCTAGGGAGTTTATCTTGACAAGGATGACACTGATGTGTTGCTGAATTGGTGAAGCAGCTTGTCTCAGGTGCTGGGGTTAAACCCCAAGCACAGTTACTAAGTGTTTATGAGAAGCACTAAACCTGGACCAATTTCCAATTATGCCCTGGACCTTGGAGACAGATGGGCAAAACTAGAAAGTTTCACTTAACCCCAGACTTGATTATGATACTACACTAGGTTTGGACTTTGGATTGAGATGCTTTTGATATGCCAACCAGTGAGATCCATCTAGGGTTAAATACTTAAGATATTACCTAAGTGGGTGATCATAGTGATAGAATCAGCCCCTTTGTCAAACAAAGTGAATATCAGGGTTTACACTCTCTCTAATGGAAACCTAAAACTACTGGCAGTGGATTTCAATTGTATTTGAAATCAAATTTGCAAAGTGTATTTATACTTATATATATATATATATATATAAAATCTAAAAAAGATTTGCAAAAGGTTTTAATCTCAGGATCCATCTGAGCAAAAGGTGTGACATTGCATTTAGCGATCAAAGAAGAGGTCCTTCCCTATGAGTAGTGTTTTGACTATTTAAGACTGAGAGGTTAAAGGCAAGAGACCATTAGAAGGCTGATAACTTGATGGCTTTATCTCATATCAGTCCATTATCCTTGGGTTGTATAGGGTGGTTTAACCCAAGGATCACTTATACTTAAGTGTTGGGCCCAGCCTAAGCCCAGCTTGATTGGCTTAGGGGTTCGTTAGCCTTATGGAGTGAAATTGACTTGTTTCTTTTCCAGACATGGGTCGAATCCATATGGACTTGTAATGAGACCTTTGTGGGTCCCATGCCATACAAATATACAATAATCAAGCCTAATATGTCATGCAACACCTATGTATGTGAACCATTAAAGAAAATGGACCTAAGCCCATTACTAATAAGACTAGTTAAAGAAGTCACATGACAACTTAAGTTATCATGTGACATGGATCAAATAAAGATATGGAAATGGGTATGGAACACCCACTTTATTAAGAGGATTAAGTCCTAATCCAAATCTGATTTGGATCAAGACATTATCCAATTAGGAGAGTGCTCTATAAAAGAGATTAGAGAGAGGGGCAAACTATGCATTCTTCCTTGCACCCAAAAACCCTAGTTCAAACCAGCCATAGAGAAGGTTGATTCCCATCAACTCTCTGTTGTGTTTTTTAAGAAAAACACCAGAGAAAAGGAGGTTCACACAGCTAAATCGAATCCCAAGCAATTGGTGTTCAATTCAGTTAGAAGAGTCTTGCTGAATCGACTTCACATATACAGTTGGGCCATCTTCACTTGGACTGTTGGAGGTCGATTTTGGTCTGATTTTGGGCATGAACTTCCACTTTGGGAGCTGCATCTTGTGGACTCAGTATCAGGTATGTTCATTTCTAAATTATGGTTTCAAATCTGGTCCAAGTTTAATGCAAGTTGTATCCAGAAATTCAGATTCCAAAATACCAAGAAACCGGTTCTCGGGTTGGGCTGAATTTTTTTTTAAATTCTTCCAGCAACTATAACAGGTTCGGCCATGTTTAATCAAGATTCTGATCCTTCCATCAGACAAAACCTAAATGGTTCAATGAGATCCTTGTGTTTCCTAAGAAACAGGTAATTTCAGTAACTTGCCTTATTAATATAATTTGGCAAGCATAAACTAAAAAGAGAAAATAAATGGGAAAACTGAGTGCATCATTTGCCACGATACACACAAAAGACAAAACCCGGACCAGTTCTTCTGTAACCTTATTAGACAGAAAGATGATGGAATCTTGCATAGAACAATGTCGAATATGGAAGATTTTAACTATCCCTTTATAGACAATTTGAGGAATGTACTAATCAATTCAGATGTCCAACTGATAGAGCACCTTTCCGAAGTTCACAACTTGAAGAAAAAAACAACTTGAGCGGTCTTAATTATCCGGTGTCACTTTCTTTCCTCACTATTTTTGTGAGCTACGAAATAGTTCATCCATACAAACAGCAACCTCAAGGTTTCCTTGATTAGTTCAACTGTTGAGGTATACTCCATCTAGGAAAGCTGCATTGTCGAATGAACAATCATGGATTCATGTGTTTATCAAGCGTTGCAATGTGAATCATGCAATCGTCGTTCTTCATGATAGGGAAACTTTGACCGATATTGGTAAAAATGCATATTGTTCGCCCAAACTTCATCGTTTTTACTGGCATCGTGCTCGTTCTATGCATAGTATTCTATGATTTAAGCTAAGAATAGCAAGACATTCAAGTCGTGTATGAAATGTAAATACAAAAGCTTACCTGATCCTGTGTCCACCGATGATCAGTATAGAAGGAGGTGAGATTTGGTGCATTGTCCGAGACGACGATGAAACATTCATTCAGGAGCCTGTGATAGTCAGGTGGGTCTTCGGGTCTCAAGAGGAAGGACATGGCATCCTTGCCGCTGCAGCCGAGACAGCGCCGGCCCTTGCACCGGCAGTCCGCAGACGAAGACGGAGGAGGAAGTAACGATATGATAGTGTCTGCTAAACTGCGCACCTGATTGCGGTACAACCTCCATAGTACCTCCGGGACTCTCCGCCTCTTCCTCATCTGGGCAGGCACTCGAGGACGAAGAGCCAACTTAACGCGCCACGGAAGCTTCTTTGAAAAGCCAATAGTAACCGTTTCCGTTTGTCCCAGCACTAGTGAGATCGGATCTGCTCGTAACAGTGCGCACACCGGCATCGGGAATATCTTCGAAATTGTAAATTTTTAAGGGATTCTTAATATCAATAAAAGAAACACACTGCAGATAATAACTAAAAGGCAACTTTTTTTAAGAAATATAAAAAAAGAGCGATTGTATACGAAAAGGGAGCATTGTATGAGATACAATTCGTATCTCCTCTTTTTATCACAAAATTGCCCCTTTATTAATTTTAACAAAATCCTCCGATCCTCTTTCTCTCTTGCATGCGATGTTTTCTTCTCTCTCTTCTCTCCTCTCTAATCCCCCAAGTCTCCTTTCTAGTTTTTTCGAATCTCCAATCTTTTCTCTCCTTAATCACTCGATTACAAAGAAGCTTCAGCTCGGGAGTTTTTGAAGTTGCTTTATGATTCACATTTCACATTTTGGAGCTTGGCGACGGATTCTTTGGTCAGCACAATTCACATTTCACATTTTAGAGCTCATTGAAGAAAAGGTCTGCACATTTCGGTTCTCTGCTCAGAAGTTTCTATTCACCTCTACCTAGTAAGATATTTATTTATTCTCTTTTATAAACTTCTTTTGCTGCCTCTCTTTGCTACTTTTTTGGGTTTCTTTGCCTTGCTTTCAACTAAGAAATGTGTTTCCATTCCAATGTCACCAATGGAGGCTCTTTTGTGCTTCCATAACTCTTTTCATCTTTCTCTTATGGATTCTTTTTCTTATAGCCTAGAAACATTATCCATATGAGATTGGGAGAGTCCTAAGTTCACAAATCTAAAATATTGTCCTTGTATAAGTTGAAAACACCATTTGCATGAATGAGGTCATATGTCCTTGGATATGTAACAAAGGCTTCACAACCGTACTAGATTATTTATGCACTATTTGTTGAAAAGTACTAAGTATTACATGCAATGTCTGGTATATGGTAGGAGAAATGCTAATATTACATGCAATAACCTCATGAGTCTTTAATGGAGACAATTCCTAGACTTGTTCACGATTATTTTAACCATTATTATTGAATACATTGGAATGGAAAACCCTACCAGTTGAAAGCAAGGCAAATAAACCCAGAAAAGTAGTGAAGTGAGGCAGAAAAAGAAACTGATAAAAGAGAATAAATAAACATCTTACCAGGCAGAGGTGAAGAGAAACTCCCGAGCAGAGAACCCAAGTGTGCAGACATTCACTCGAACGAGCGATTAAGAACTAAAAGATGCAGAGAGAAGCAGAGATTCACTCTCACGAACTGAGAATGATGTAGGAAGAGTTGAGTGATTACAGAGAAGGAGAGAAGATCGGAGATTCAAGAGACCGAGAGATGCAGGGAGATTTGAGCGATTACAGAGTAGGGAAGAGATGGATGCTCGAGAGAGAAAAAAAATTCACAAGCAGGAGGGAAAGAGGATCGGAAGATTTTGTTCAAAATTAATAAAGGCGCAATTTTGTCATAAAAAATGAGATACGAATTGTGTCTCATACAATGCTCTCCTTTCGTATACAGTTGCTCTTTTTTGATATTTCTTCAAAAAAGTTGCCCTCTTTTAGTTATTATATGAAGTGTGTTTCTTTAATTGATATTAAGGTCGAAAAGCTACCCTTATCAATTAGAATCCCAATTTTAATGGAAAATGTTCTAATGGAAACGAGCTATGAGGTCGGTGTGAGGCATGCTCCTTGAGGACCAGATCTAAGCATCTGGTTAGTTCCATCCGACCCGTTTATAATTGGGTCGCACACGGAACTACCCAATACCCCCAATCCGATCCAATATGAACCTAGTTGGGACAATATTTAAACATTTTTATTTATGAATAAACGTGTACGTGCTTTTGCAGGCGGTAATTCTAAACAATGATAATAATGGTAATAGTATATCAAAAAGTTTCTATAAATATTTATTTTATTTTTATATGTTTTCTATTTTTTATTATTAATTGGATGCATATTGCAAAATTCAAATATGATTACATAAACACCTCATATAAATATGTAATAATTGAATCGAGTTGTGAAATTTCAAGTATCATTAACAAGTCCACCTACTTAGCCGGATTATTCTTTTTATAATATTTTATTTTTTGGTGTTTTTTCTATTCATTTATCAAAGAAATGTAAGATTGAAATAGAGAGAATTGAATGAGATGTAAGGTAGTAGTTCAGTCTACAATTTAAACATCACAACTAAATAGGGACTAAATTTAAAAATGAGTATTTTAGTCAAAAGAAAGTTTCACAATATTATTTATATTTTTAATAGTAATGTAAATATAGAATTATAGATGTGTTCAATTTTTTTGTAGTTTTTTATATTTCTGTGTAAAAATAATTCCGATATATTACACTTACTTTTTGTTTAATATGATAATTAATTAATATTACACATGTGTCTGAATGCTTTTTTTTATTTTTATATTTTATTAATTTTTATTATATATTTATGACATTAAATGTTAACACAATTTACCCAAAAGTTGAATTATTGATCTTTGCGAAGTAGTAAAATAATTTCATTTTTGGTCACTTCTAAAGTATATATATTATTTTCATTATCAATAAAAATAATTATTATTTATTACACTTATTTTTTAATTTGACTAATAAAATATTACTAATATTTCTATTTTTTTTTCTACATTTTTGTAATTTTCTATATTTTTATTTTAAAATTTTTGTTACCTAACTATGATTGCATAGGTTTATAAATTTGATTGGGATGGTTGAATTACTTAACCACCACTTAGATAAAGAGTGGTTTTGTTTTTGAGTCAATTTTAAAATGTGTGGGTTCATATTGTTAAAAATATTGATATAACTTAAATAAATTATTGGTGAAAAATAACTTAAATATAGGATTTAATACTAAAAAATGGGAGTTAATACCTTTAAGTATAAAATTTAATAAAATGGGATTAAATGAGGTGGAAAGTAATTATTCAAGTTACATTTTTAACCCTTAAAATTATAGATGTAATAAATAGACAAATATGGGCATTTTAGTAGCCATCAAAAGTTGACATTAAATTTGTAATAAAAATTACTTTCATACCGTTTATCAAACAAAGAAATAGTGAGTAATTTTAATCCAAAAAAAATCTACTCTACATCCGCACTTTTATATATAGTATAGATATAAAATCTTTTTCTTTTGTTCATTTATCAAAAAAATGTAAGATTTAAATAAAAGGATCTAAATGAGGAGAAAAGTAGTAGTTCAATTAACAATTTAAACCTTACAATTAAATAAGGATTAAATTCAAAAATGAGTGTTTTAGTCAATATTTTAAACATCAGATCAGACTAGATGATTGAACCATTTGACCCGGAAAATGGTCAGGTCATCCGTTCCATTTTGGCCATGAACCGCTATTTTACAAAAAAACGTTGGAATGGTTAGAGAACTACTGATCCAAATGGTTTAACCATTAAAATGTTTGACATGGTTAACGGTTCTCAAGTTGCTTTCAAACTAATTCCAAATATTTTTATTTATTTTAAAATAGAAATTGTAAAATTAAAAAAAAATGATAAGGGAAACTTTCATGTCTCAAAATCTTGGTTGATTATTCCCAATAGCCAAAATTTGTTAAGGTTTTAGTTATTCCACTTTGATTTTGAGTTTTCTTATTTATGTGATTCTTTTTAAGTTGTAACAACAAAAAAAATGCAAATCCAATGAAGAAATTAAAAAATCGATGCAAGAGGTGAAAGATTAAACATCGATCTTATATTAAGATTTGAGATACTCCAATGAAGCAAATGATCTAGGATTTGGGAGATATTTAGAAATATTAAGAAAAGGGCAAACGGTGTTGTAGCCGCAATGATAATAAACAAGGAGATAGCCTTGCCACCGATTCCTTCTTCTTTTTCTTAGGGCGAACAACTCTACAACAATGCTTGCTGAACATGGTGACAATCACCATTGGCAATGCTTCCTTATCTTTCTTTTTTTCTCACTTCTCAACTTTAACTAGGTGCCTCCTTAGGGTTGATCATTTTAGCTCATCCCACCCTGGAAAATTCTGTGTTTGGGCCAGGGTTTTGTTCAGCCCAGACCTGACCCACATATATGTAAACATACACATTTTGTGCATAATGTGTTTGTGTGTATATATATATATATACACACACATTATTTTATATTATAATATAACATGTATAATTTATATTATAATATTATATAATGTATAAAATAAGTTGATATGCATGTTACATGTCATTTAATATAAAATGTTATATATATGCAATATTTTATATATGAACCTGGCCCATGCCCATATATACTTGAGCTAGGGCTTTTGTTTCAGGCTTGGAACCCCAGGCCAACTCGGGCCTGGGCGTAGGCTATAGCCCTTATCATAAGTGCAAACCCAACCTAGCTCAACCCGACCCATGATCACCCCTACTCCTCAAAGTTTCACACTCCCCTCTCATAATAATGTATATATATGGTGGACTTTAACCTAATGGTCAAAATAAAAAATTACATTATATTTTACATATTACTATTTTGACCCACTCAAACCGGACGGTTGAACCATTGACTTGGAAACCAGAAACCAAAGTGGTTCTGTTTCTGGGTCAGTTTTTAAAATATTGTTTATTGCACTTATTTTTTTAATTTGATTAATAAAATATCATAATGTGTATATTTTTTCTACATTTTTTGTATTTTTCTATATTTATTTATATTTTAATTTTTTTTATCTAACTATGACTTCATAGGTTAACCAATTTGATTTAGATGGTTGAATTGCTTAGCCTCCACTTGAATAAAGAATGATTTTGTTTTTAAGTCCGTTTTAAAATATATGGGTTTATATTGTTGACATAGATCTAATTAGTAGCATTTATTAGTGAAAAATAACTTAAAATATAGGGTTTAATAATAGAAAATGGGATTTAATACTTTAAGTATAAGACTAAATGAGAGGGGATTAAATGAGGTGGAAAGTAATAATTGAAGTTACATTTTCAACCCTTATAATTAGAGATGGATTAAATACACAAATATAATCATTATATTAACCATTAAAGTTATAATAAAATAACTTTTATACCCTTTCTCAAACAAAGAATTA